CAGCAGGAAGAGTGTATGATCCCTGCTTTTACTGCTAAAATATGTGAGGCAGTAGAAGTCCACAGAATCTATCAAATGCTGGCCTTGAATAAAGCACCTTTCTTATTCCATCTAATTGGCTTTTTTGTAAAATAGTCTGAGTGTAAAGAGCATACTATGTAATCTACAAGATATGTAGCTTTTACTTCAATGTTAGATGTATCACTGTAGTTGTAAAGCTTGAGAAGGGTTAGTGTAGGGTTAACTATTACAGTTAAGCTTCTGGTGCTTAGGATAAATAGTTCTAATCGAAAACTGAAACCAAAAAGTAAATGGCATTGTTACTGTTGTTGAGCCCTTAGGAGAGCTCTGTGCCTTTCTCTGTCAGCTAGAGAGGAGTGGAAGCTTACAGGTATCCAGAGCATTGCTGTACCCTAAGGCTAAGAAGGGAGTTCTCTAACTTTAGATTTATTTTTTTTTTCTGCTTGACAATTCCGTTATCAAACAAAAGGGGAAAATATCCTTTTGATGTGGGAGAAGACAATTGCTACTCTGACCTCTTGTCCCATGTAGTTCATACAGCCTCACCCTGAATTAAACACTTTTTGCAGGTTATATTTAGGAACTTTTTTTTTTAAATGTGAATTAAAGTAATCTATATGTTATGGATAAAGAGTTCAGAGTATAACACAAAAATAAATACTGTTTGAACACCGATCAGATCTCTCTGTATGATACACTTTGGTGTATCTGTGCCTTAAGGTAACATTAAAGCGAAAGCAAAGCTGAACCATCAGCAGTGTGGGTTACTCTTTGGGGTGGACGTATCAGGGGAGGAAATGACCCCAGAAACACCATTTCTTTTCATGGGCCCTCCTTGTCTTAGATTTTGTTTAGCCATTAAATGGCACAGGATCTTTGAAAGGTTATTTCTATATACTGGTATTTTATGGCTATGTGAGAAAACAACACATCTTTATTTTAAAGTATAGGATAAGAACCTCTTCTTTCAAAGTCTCACAGTTCCATGTATATGTTTACATCTACCTCTAAAGTATATTGCCACACTATGTATGACATTTGAATCAACACCAGAAAACAAAACCTGTTTCTTTGTATAACCAAATATACCTTGTACTGAGAATATTAACTCAGGAAATAACTTTCAAATTATGTCAGTTTTGTGAGCTGATCTTAAGATTTTTTCCTGTCCCTTCACTTCTCTTTTCATCCTTCTAGATTTACATTTTTTATGGCACTCGGTCAAACGCTGAATTTGTGATCCACAGTGGTTTTTTCTTTGATAATAATTCACATGACAGAGTGAAAATAAAGCTTGGCGTGAGTAAAAGTGACAGGCTGTATGCTATGAAGGCAGAGGTCTTAGCTCGTGCTGGTATCCCAACGTAAGTAAAACACAATGCCATGGGTTTTTTAAAACATTTCCAAAGTGCATAGTGTCTAGTAGAGCATATATGAAGCTATTCTGTCATAGCTTTCTTAGGTGTAATATTTCTCCTGTTTGTACAGCAAATTAAAAGTTATTGTAATAATATTTAAGTTCTCTGAGCTACATTATCATCTAATTTGGACCATATATAAGGAAAAAAGCCTTCACTTTCATAACCAGTTGAACTAAAACAGGGCAAGGATTAATTTGAAACAATCTGTGGTTTTTCTGTCTTTCCTATTCCTTGCAGACATACTTGGAAGCTCAGTATGTGAACCACAGCATTTTCCTTTAGCCTTTTCAGTCCAGAGGGTACTGTTAGGAGCAGCAGACAAGAAACATTGCATTTTAATTAATTTATTATGAAAGCTATATAAAAATAATTGTAAGTGTAGAATTGTAGAGATAATTGTTCTTTTCAGATACAGATTAGGGAAGCTTTTCTTCAGTTTTAACTAGTACTACCTGACTGTTTAAAAATTACTTTTGTAACAGTGCAACTGTTATATACTCTTAAGTTCAAAGATATGACAATAGAACTTCCATTTACTGGTGTCTTATTATTTCTTTTATTAGTTCTAGTGTTTTTGCCTTGCATTCCACTGAGCCTCCAATCTCTGCCCAGCTTTTGGCTTTCCTTCGAGTGTTTTGTATGACTGAGGGTAAGATGTTTTATAAAGATAATTTATGTTTGTTTTTGGGGGTTGTGTTTTTTTTTTGTTGTTGTTTGGTTGGTTGTTTTGTCTTAATGCAGAAATATGATAGATATTTAAGCTAAATAAACATTGAGCTAGAAGATTGGAAAAGTTGAGTTGAGATTAAAAAGGGATCTATAAGCTCATGGGAAACCCAACCTTTGGCCATGTTGTCTGAGGGAATATTTCGGTAACGTAGGCCATTCTGGAACTCCTAAAGCTTGAGGTGATGCAATTTTGTGTTCTTTTACTCACCTAGTCATTGGAGCTTGATCTTTAGTTCCTAGGTTTAAAAATTGTTCACAGAACAAGATCATGTGAGACCTAGGGTTTGTGTGCTTGTAATCGTAGCATATTAGCCATCACTGCTACCATCATGTAGGTTTGGAATTGGAAGGTTTTGTACTGCAAGAGAAACATGGAAGAGACTCTTCAAAGTTCAGTATTTTGGTAAATCATAACCTAAAACCAACTTAAATATTTGCAAACTGTAGTGGTTTATGTTAGGGTTTTTGGGAGGAAAAGGTGTGCAGTTAATAAATACTCACCTGGCTTGTGCATGTGAACCTTCTGACGAAACGTTTGCAATCGCTTCTTGCTGGCTGGATGCAGCTTTGGAAGTTACAGCTGTGAGTTTTTCATGACAGTGAGTGAATTCCCTTACAGTTAGGGATGCTGTGCAGACTATGTGGATTTTAATACCAGTAGGAATAGTGAAGTTTTTAACTTTTTGCATGTGCTTTATTTGCTTTCTTTTAATTAAAACAAATGTACTTTTACTGCACCCTGTCATCCATCTTTTAGAATAGAATAGTTCAGGTGGAAGGAACCTACAACAATCACCCAGTCCAGCTGCCTGATGACTTCAGGGAAGTAAATTCAAGTAAAGAAAAGTTTAGGTTGCTGATGAGGGTTGGATTCTGCCTCAGAAAAAGGAAATATAGCTTGTAGATTTATTAAAATTGCATTTCTCTGCTAGATGATTGTGCTCAGATTATTCATGTGTCTTAAATGCTGTATAAGAAAACTGCTGTTTATTGGGGAAACTACATGCAAGCGGTTTGTCAAGTTTGTGATAGCTGCTTTGCAGGAGTGAAATTTTATAATTAAAAGATTAATGGAATTTGTGTAATTTCAAGGAGCTGATTAAACATTTTCTTCTCTGTGTGAGCTTTGTTTGATGGATGTCTTTTCTGACCAACTGTAGGGAGTTTCTGCTACTGAAAAATTACCAAAACAATAGAAAAATAATTCCATTGCTATTTGCATGCTCCCTGGTGCATTCCTTTTATTATCAAAAATTTCATTGAGCTCTTTAAATAATTGCTCACTTAGTTTGTATAATATTTGATAAACATATTCCGTTTCACTATCATAGTTATGCTGTGTAAGAGTGGCTATGAAATATAAAGTATCTTTATTTCTAAGTGGAGCAGAATGTCCATTTTCTGTTAACCTCAAGACTTCCAGTTGCCTTTTTGAGAATCCTAAAAATAACCAGCATATCTGGTAATTCTAACTTGAGAAGAGGGGTTTTTTTTGTTAGCTGCTCAGAGCTATAGTATAGAAAATAAATCTCTCTGCAGTTTGTCAACTGACAAAGTGAATGATAAGATTGGTTTTTAACAGATTGGTTTTATGCTTATTGCAGAAGAGCTGAAGGAACACTTGATAGGCGAGCATGCCATTGACAAAGTCTTCACTCTGGGGAACTCTGAGTTTCCCATTAGCTGGGACAATGAAGTCAAACTTTGGACATTCCTAGAAGCCAGAGCATCCCTTCTTTTGAAAACCTATAAAACAACTGTGGAGGTAAAATCATTATATGTAATTTAAATGTCTGAGATGTTCTGTGTTAACGATTCTAGGAAAAGATATTTTGTCCCTCATCTTGTCTTTACAAACTTTAACCTGACTGTGAGTACATAATTTGCATTATCTAAGGAAAATCAAATAAGATTGTAAAAAAGAAAATTTTGTTAGTGTAATTTTGTTAATGTATTTTTTCTTTGATTTTCCAAATAGAGGCTACCTGCTTTTTCTCTGCAATTAAAACAGGAGGAGTCAGTTTCAACTTGTTGCCTCTTAGTTGCATTCTCCAGACTGCAAAGAAGTGTGCTCCTATTGCAAGCATATAAGCGAAGCTACATCTAAAACATATTTGTGAAGTCTCCTAACTTCACTTGTTATGCCAGCTGAGCTGTGTGGAGAAATTTTTTGGCTGCTTTATGAATTCTTGACAAATTTTGCTGGGACTCCCTCATTCATGTATGTCCATTTGGCTTTGCCTGAAGGTCGTGTCACGGACTGTTAATGCACAGAGAGAGAAGTTGAGGGATTTATTTTAGTTGTGTTGGTTGTTACTAACAAACCTGGTTTTTTTCTGTCCTGTCAGGATGATAAGACCACCTTGGAGACCCATGACCTTACTCCGCATGCGATAATGGCCATCAAGTTGCGCTTGGGTGAGAAAGAGATCTTGGAGAAAGCAGTGAAGAGTGCGGCTGCCAGCCGAGAGTATTATACCAAACAAATGGCAGATGGAGCTCCAATTCCGAAATATGAAGAGAGCAATATTGCCTTGCTGGAGAACACTGTGGCAGACTCTAGACTCCCTATTGTCTTGAGAAACCTAGAAGATGTGGAAGAGCAAGGGGACTTAAAGATTGATGAAGCTATTGATGCTGAAGTCACAGAGAATGGGTTTGTAAATGGTGAAAACTCTCTGTTTAATGGGACCAAATCCAAAAGCGAAAACCTAAATAAAGATAAAAGTAACAGAGAGACTGAAGATGCCAAAGAATCTTCTTCAGAAAGTACTGATGAGGTTAAAGAATAGTCTTAAAAACTTATCCTTCTTATGAAATTAAATTAGCTGAAGTTTATGAACAGTGCATTTATGTTGGTGTGTTTCTTTGTTAACATTTCTCTTTCTGCGAAGAAAAATGTTTTTGCTGCTTTATATAAAAATGAATTTTTAAGTTATTTAAAAGACTTAGCATCCCATTTCAATTAAGATTGCCATCTTGCTTTTGGGCAAAAACTGGGGAAAGAGGTGCCTTGGAAGATTTTGCAGCCCTTTATTGAACCAAATGTATTTTCTTCCTGGGGAAGAATTAAGCTCTTCTATCTGCTCTGCTTTTGTTGTTCTGTCACTCTGACTGCCGAAATTTAAAAGCTTGCTCTGCCTCCTGCCAAGAAAAGCAGAAGGCAGGATTGACTCGGTATTCAGTATGAAGGTGGGAGAGCAGTACAGCAGAAAACTGGATAAGAGGATCAGAAACTTGGGAGACTGGGGGAAAGCCTGTTTAAAATCAGGTATGCCAGTCCGAAAAAAGGTGAGGTGGCAACCTTATGATTGGGAGTTTTAAATATTGAGAATCCAAATTGTATACACTTAACGTGATCTCTGAAGATTTCAGTTTACTTTGTCTTTTGTTTACTGTATAAAAATATCTCATCTTTCTTCTTCAGAGCTAGGCTGTTGCAATACAACATTCACCAACTTTTAAAGGCTGAATTCTTTCTATTTCCAGGCAGTACCTTTTATTTACAAGGTTGGCAGTTCTACTGGAGAATTTGAAAGCAGATAGGCCAAGCCACAGCTTTAAACTGTACTGTTCAAAGTGAGGTTGCTTCCCAGCTTCTTCAGGTTTTCACAACTAGCTAGAGATTTTCAAAGCTACACTTTTGACTAAACCATTATTAAAAGGAAAATATGATTAATATTCCTGTCTGCTACTCCTTCATTTCTGTGTTGTTGGATGTAACACTGAATGTGACATGGTTACCTGGTCTTACTCAACTTCATCGTTTGGTTAAGATATTAATGGATGCTGTTTTCTTAAAGGAAATGGCAGGCAGGCTAATGTATTTTTGGCCCCAGTCCAGATCATAGCCAAGTCTGCAGTATGCTTTGATTGTGTCTGTCTGATGCACATTTCTTGGGACAGTTCCACAAGTTAAGCTGGTCTACTGTCTCTGGCAGTTTTGGTCACCCTCATGCAGTAACTTTTAACTTGTAGGTGGAAACAATACAATCCTAGCACAGTGCAATATCAAACAAGGGTAATTCCAAGGCTTGACTTTGAAATTGCCTAGGTACTGGGGGGAGCGTGGAATATTTTTATTTTGTGGGTGAATGGAGAGGAGTATGAAGTTATTTAATTCTGTTCTCAATACTGAGGACTTTGTCTTTTACCTTTGTATCCTTCAGCTGAAGATAATGGATAAAAAGGACAACCTTGGACAACTGTTTAAAGCTCAATAGATGTTGTAACCTGCTCATCCAAGTTCAGTTGCAGTAAAATGTCTTTTGGTGTATTCATAGTTTTACTAGATATTGCTTTTTTTTATGCTGCAACTCGGAAAGTGTGTTTTTGCATAAGTCTTTGGTGCAATACACATGATAAGTAGTGACTTTCCTTCAGGTTGTCCATAGTGGTTTTGGTGTTCAGCTAGTAACAGCGGGGGGGGAAAATAGGAAAAAAAAAAATAGTTTTTTAAGAAGTATTTCGCTAGGAATGGCACGTTGCCATTGCACCTTGGATATTGCTTCATCACTAACAAGATGCTGGACCAGTATTTTTGTAACTATATGCTGCCTTTGGTAGAATGTTATGAATTGTTGTCTTGACAGTTTAAATGTCATACAAGTCATTACATTTCGGTTTTTATTAGGACCAATATTCCATTTCTGTTTCTGCCACTTACATTGCACAACATTGTACTAAATACTATGATGCAATTCTGAAAATAGCCTTCCCTGAAAATTATAACTGTAATTCAGAATTTAAATGCTTTGATTCAATCTGATACACTGTATTTTGTTCCAGTATTTGCTGGTATCTATGGTTTAGCAAAGCCTGTGGTCACCACAGGACAGAATGTGTGGGTTTTCTTGAATAAAATATAGTTCTACCATGACTTCCTTAGTGAGTGTATTATACAAACAAAACCTCTACCTGCTACCAACTGCTATATCTTTTGGGGTCTGTGGGGAGAGGAATAGCTGTCCAGGTGTACAGATAAAGATTAATGGAGAAATAGCTGGGAAAAGAGTGACTGTGGTAAACAAAGTTGTCTGTTAAGCACATGGTCAAATTCTTACTCTTCATCCTTTAGCATTATTTAGAAAAATACACTGCACACAATAAAAATAGCAAGTAATTTAATTTTACAGTTTTCATTTTTAACTCTGTGCATGTAATGGCTTCTCAGAAGCACTAAGCTAAAACGTAAGCTTATGAAAACTGAAGTGGAAACAAAAAAATTGGCACTGATGAGCCCTTATTACCATCTGTCATGAAAACAGACCTTTCAAAGCATTTTAAAGTTAACTTTCTTCATGATGTTTGGTTAAGATGCTGTTCACACTAATCCCAGGCTAAATGCCAAATCTTGCTTCTGTTTAGCTATCTGAAGTATTCCTGTAGGATAGACATCACTTGGATTTCTCATGCTTTTATCCAAAAACAAATTTGGGGGGGTGGATAAGGGGGGGGAAAGGAAGGCCTTTTGAATTTTATTTGAACCTACCTATTGATTGTTTCCTAACAACCTATAACTACTTTGGTTCTGTACTGCAAGACAAGGTCCACATAGGCCTGTTGATAAAGTCAGATACACAAAATCATGCAACAACCTCCACTCTGAAAAATTGCTTGTAAAGTGTATAAATGCAACCTTAGCTCAAGTGCTGTCATGAGGAAACGAGAGCTGAGAGCCTTCTGGCTGTGGAGGCAAGGTGATTTAGGATCTTGGCTAAAATAGGTTGGTTTAGTATCTTGACTAAAATAAGTTATTACTACTTCTGGACGTTGTTAAAAGCGGTATGTACAGAAAGTCTGTGCAACTCAACAATAGCTGCATTCTTGAGGCTAATTTGCCTTTAGAGAGGAGTGATCATCACGGAGTCATGAAACTTGTACGTTTCAAAGGCACACTGGAAGTTTTAGGTGAGAAATTGTGCTTCTCTAGTTCCAATGTTTAGAAATACTATTTAATATCTGTTGCTGCCACTTCTGTTTTTTTTTTTTTTTTTTTTTACAGAAAGGCATATGAAGTAATTATGAAAAGTAATTTGAAGTGTTTCAGTCTGACACCCCAAAGGTGCTCCCGAAATCCACTGATTTTTTCTGATTATACGGACTGAAAGTCAGTCCTTGGTGTTTCTTGTACTCTGTGCCAAACAGGAATGTTTAGACAAGATATTGCTCTACCAGATATGTCTGATGAAGCATCCTTTTTCTCTATAAATTTTTCGTACTGATTCTTGAAGTCAGATCTGATCACACAATTGTCACATAATTGCCATCTCTATTAATAATTTCTAACATGCTTCCTTCTTCGCATTGCTTACGGTACCAAGTACAGCACGTAAATCAATGACTCATGGTCAGGAGAGCTTCCTTAGCATTTCTCAGCTTCTACATCTATTTCCTAATGAATGCCACAAGTTTGGAAACCGTGCGGGGGATTTTTCAGTTAAAATAAATTCCCAAGCCATACTTAAGGAAAAAAAAGCCACAGATGGTCCTGGATTCTTTTGAGTTTTGTGTCTCCTTAGGCTCACTTGGTGTATTCAGTGTGTTTCAAAATCGAATTAATGACTGCTATAGAGTTAGTGGACATGATGTAAACTTAAACTTTAGTAATATAAATTAAATCTAGGATAATTTATTTCATGAAAAACACAAATTGAAATTTTGCCAAATGCCGAAGCAGCTATCCTACGGTACCAAACAGTAACCAAAACACCCAGGTTTTTGCTTTTTCTGTAGCCATTAGCCAAATATCAAGTGCTGCAGTACTTGCACTCCTGGGTTATCAGTAACAGGCTTTGAAAGGTGGTTGAATAAGCTGGTTTGTATAGCGGAGTGCAGTGGGTGATATACAGTACTCATGTACTTCTCACAAAATGTGATTTTTACCTTGTACGCCGTCTTTAGTCATTAACAATTATCTTTATTTTCAGTGTATGCTGGTGTCAAAGCTTCACTTACAATATTTTTGTTTTTACATTGGTAGCAGCATGGACTGGACCTGGCAGTTTGCAAAAGCAATCAAGTTGGTCATCAGCATTTCCATTGTGCAGAAAGTGTTGCACAGTCAGTACTGGAGCAGCTTGAAACCAGAAGGCATTTGACCTCTGCTTTTGTGTCTCATTCTAGAAAGCCTTAACAGCTGGAGCTGGTGCCATTTTTCACCATGAAAGATGAAGCTAGATAAGGGAGGAAAGCAAGTAGATGTCCTTTTTTAAGTGGAAAAGGAAAGCTGGACAACTGAACAGTTGCTGGCATGTCTCAGAGGCAGGAGTTGCTATCCTGAAGAAGTAGTTTAGGAATTGCTTCAGTGAGTGCTTAAAAAAAAAAAAAAAAAGTATCTGCAATTAGAACTGTGATTGCTGTGGATTTTTAATTTTACAATTAGACAAGGCCTTCACTTTCCTAGGAACAAGAAAACATATGAATTAGGAACTGCTGTAATGTGCTAAACTGGCAGTAAAGAGCAGATATAAGTGGCTGTTTCCTTTGCTGTCCATGCATGGCTGAGGGCAGCCTGAGTGAAGTCTGGGCTGGAGTCACTGCTGTTCACTAACTTGTTCCCCTGCGGCTGTGGGAGAGCTACTCAACACCAAGAGGATAAGGGAAGGCTTTACAAATCCAGCAAGGAAGGACTGGGCAGAATCAGAGATCAATATAAAAATGAAAGATACTGTTGTATTCAGGACACTCACCTAAAACAATGTGTATAGACTTGAGACCTTTGCCCACATAATATTTTTGCATATAGGTCTATTTTTTAAATAAAGTTGATCAAGCACAGAAGAGGCTTTTGAACCTGAGTCTTCTATCTCCCAAGTGATGCTTTCTGTTGACTGCTC